TCTGGTTTTTGCATTAATTCTATTTCACATTTCACATTAGAATAAGTAAAAAAAAAAAAAATTGAGTAAAATGTGCAGATAAATTGTTTACATTTATTACATTTACAATAATCAGGAAGTGCGTGTTAGCAGGCTAGTTATCATCACCTTTACACTGCAAAAACTCAAATCTGGCCAAGTTAAGATGACTTTTTTCATCACGATTTGAGTCAGTTTCGCTTTACAAGTAAAATTTTCTGCCAGTGGAAAAAAACTTTTTGAACTTAAAATAAGAAAATAATCCATTTAAAACAAGGACTAAAACAGGACTGAACCAGGACTAAACCAGGACTGAACCAGGACTAAAACAGGACTGAACCAGGACTAAACCAGGACTGAACCAGGACTAAACCAGGACTAAACCAGGACTAAAACAGGACTAAAACAGGACTGAACAAGGACTAAACCAGGACTGAACCAGGACTAAACCAGGACTAAAACAGGACTGAACCAGGACTAAACCAGGACTGAACCAGGACTAAACCAGGACTAAAACAGGACAAAACAGGACTAAAACAGGACTAAACAGGACTGAACCAGGACTGAACCAGGACTAAAACAGGACTGAACCAGGACTAAACCAGGACTAAACCAGGACTGAACCAGGACTGAACCAGGACTAAAACAGGACTAAAACAGGACTAAAACAGGACTGAACCAGGACTAAACCAGGACTAAAACAGGACTAAACCAGGACTAAACCAGGACTAAAACAGGACTAAACCAGGTCTAAAACAGGATTTAACAGGACCATGTTGCATGGACGTGTTTCTTCGTCTTCTATCAATAATATTTTTAATTTGTTCTCTTTTTATTTTCTTTTATCAGACAAAACTTCTTATGTGAAGATTTCCTCGTCTTTGTTTCTCTACAGCAAATCAAGTTATTCAAAGTATTCAGATTACATTACTCACTTTAAGTAATTTAATGGATTATGTTACAAACTACATTTTGGGGTATGTAATCTGTAATCTGTAGGGGATTACATTTTAAAAGTAACATCCCCAACACTGTGCACCGAAAACATAAGTTCTAATTATTTGTCTGAGCATAAGTTATTTGTCTGAAACCGTCAAACTTTGGTCGGGTTTTTCATGCTCAACTGTAGACGGACTAATATTGTTGCTTTACTCAAACGTGCGAATGAAACAAAACACAACTCCACGTCTGTTTGCGATGAGGATACAACATTATTACATGATTTAAAGCTCACAAGAGTCAATTTTGTCCAAGTCGGGATGAGATTCTTGAGGTCCAGGCTGGTTAAGGCAGATTGAATCAAAGATGGTTAAGGAAATGTGCATTTTTCATTCCACTTCTTCTAATTCCTGGCATTCTTTGACACATTGTTGTTCAGTCGTTTGGTTCATTTGGTTTTCCGATGATTCGTGTTATTAGTTTCTTTTTTCCGGAAGAACCAATGAACCAAACAAATGAACAACAATTTGTCAAAGAATTCCAGAAATTAGAACAACTGGGATTGAAAACGGCACATTTCTTTAACCGTCTTTGATTCAATCTGCCTTAACCAGCTCAAGAATCCCAACCCAGAATGTGAGAAAATTGTAAAAAGCAGCTCGCCTCGCACGGAAAAAAACCTTTTAAATCGGACTATTCAACGTATCTATTGACCTTAATCTTCCCCCTTAAACTTCGTGTGCACATTTGCAAACGGCGCGAGTGAAGCTGCGCACTGTAATCACGTCTAAAGCAAACACCGGAGCCGCTCGCCGTTCACGGACGATAAGCTGATGTACACAGATCTCCTTAAGTTTCGTATTTAAAGCATCGGGCGGCGCTTTGGGGAGACGCCTCTCTGGCTCCGGCGCGCAGTCCCCCGCTCTAACAGTCTAACGCGCGCATTTATTTCACTGATTGTGCTGCCACGGGGCCCAGAGACGCTTTATTCACCGCAGTTTATGTAGAAACTCTGAATTATAACGCGGACGAACGGGAGCAACCACCAAACGAGCTCAGTTATTGGTCCATACAAGGAAACAGGTTGTTTTTGAACATTTTTAAGTCATTAATTGTCAGCAAAAAAGTTTAGAGATCACATATTAAAGGTCCTACATTACACAAAATGGACTCTTGTGAGGTTTAAGTCGTTGTTTCCTCCTCAAAAAACAGACCTGGAGTTGTGTTTTGTTTCATTCACGTGTTTGAGTAACTCTTTAATATTAGTCTGTTTATGTCTCCAAAGCTCAAAATGCTCTGTTCAACCTTGTGATGTCATCAAAGAACTGTCATAAAATCTGGAAAGTGAACCCAAAATGGCGTTGTGTTGTTTTCAGTGATCAGTGCTCATTCTTCTCTCTCGCTTTGTAGAAACCATGTGACCTCGCAGCATTAGGATCCGTTCGCTCGACAGTAGGCGGATACTTTTTTATTTAACCAATCGCTGCTGTTTGGTCGTGACGCATGTAATGCTCCAAATCCCGTAGGAAGAAGGACAATAACGTCTTTCCCCTTGATAAAATTCACCAAACATTCTCTTTGTTCTGGCTTTAAATCCTCGATTTCAGGAATCGTTGACAACACAGAATGTTTGTCTTCATCTACATCTCGACGCTTTGTTTACTGTTGTGTTGTTCCACAAAAGAGACACAGACAGACGCCACCAGTTTGATGTTGCTGATTGGCCGGTGCACTGTCTCCAGCTTCTGGGGTTTTTCCAGAACATCTAGTGCAGTGGTGCTCAATACGTCGATCTCGATCTACCAGTCGATCTCCAAGGTCGTGTGGGTAGATCGCGTGTCTCGTCTCGGACTCGCGTTTGGACTCGGTCTTGTCTCTCACTCGAGGTCTGACACTCAACAAGTGTGATCATATTTCATTACGGCCGCTGCTGTTGGTAATAAACTTGTAGCGGGTGCAGGAGCGTGTGGGGCGTCTCAGTGCAGCCTGTGCGCTCATTTGAAACCCGCGGAGACTCTACGGCGCATCACAAACACACACGCTCCCTATGCACGGCTCGTCTGCGACAGCGTGTGCCCTCGTGTACCAGCGTGCATCACAGGGCAGGTTCAACTTCCTAAACATCCTACCTGTCCACCTGCCTCACGTCAGCACGCCGCCCCTCGCCTTTTCACGCTCTCGCTCCTTCCTGCGTACAGCGAACACAAGCCCCTCCCACAGTGCGGCTGATTAGAAGAACAAGACCAAACGTGAAGCAAAAACCAGTCTAAATTTGGGTTCCAGTGTTGGCACAAAGCAGGTCTACAGCATAGAGCGGATCTACAGAACAGACCAAGTTTGTCTAACAAAAGTGACAAATGCATCTGTGTTTGTCACGATGTGCGTTTGGTTTGGTAAACGTGCAGAGGCTGGTAAATATCACTGCAAAACCAGAAAAGAATGAAACTCCAGTTTGGAACTTTAAAAAACAGGTTTAAAAATCTTCCTTCACTTTTTTTCACAGTTTTGTGTAAAGTGCCAGAGGAAGTTCTCTTAAAGAAGAGGTTCTCAAACTGTGGGGGAGGGCTCCAAAAAAGGGGCACAGAGTGTTTCAGTGCAGTTTGTTTGGCTTGTATTAGGTCGATCATTATGACTTGGTCATTTTGTAAGTAGCTCACATGATGAAAAAGTGTGAACAGCCCTGGTCTAGTGTTTTCTGATTCCTGGTCTAGTCGCTGGAGAGAAATGAAATTGAGTGGAGGCACTAGGTGGCGCCAGACTGACTAGTGCTCATTTTGACTTACGCATTACTTCCTGAATACCAGTCTTATGCCACAAAATGTCTGACGTCAGAAACATGCAGTCGGGGCTAGTGTGGGCTCAGAGCAGACAGGCTGAGGTGACTTTTAGGCACTTTGATGATTTGAATTTTTTAAAGTTCATGTTGTAGAAATACAAAAAGAATCCCTACAAAATCCAACCTTTGTGAAAGTTGTGGATGCCCCGACAGAGCAGGGGTAGTTTGAATTCCCAAAAAATGCCTTTTTTCTGGGCCCAAGCTTCCGAGAGCTGCAGAAGCTGGAGCCCCATGTTGACAGCTCCTTTTACCTTTAGTTCAGTGGAGATTGAAAATTCCAGGGCAGAAATGATCCAGTTGATTCTATTGAAGGTTTGTGGAGTTTAAAAACACAGTAGAGCACTTCCTGTATCACCACATGACGTCACAAGGTGGAACAGAGTGTGTTTTTCTGTTTGAGAGAAGAACTCAGCCTAAATGTGCAGGGTTTGTGTGTTAAGTTAAACATGTTTGAATGAAAAAAAACACAACTCCAGGTCCGTTTGTGACGAGTAAATGACATTAGAACAGATCAGAAAACAGTGTAACATGAGCCCATTAAAACACAGTTGTACAGAATAAACCATTAAGTGCTTTATAATTGCTAACTAACAAAAATTTACAACTAACCATCAAACTGTGGTCCCTAAACTAAAGTGTTACCGCAGAACTAAAATGTTTAACAGCGCACTTTCCCGTCTGCAGTGAGTCCAGAACGAGAACATATCACACAAATCCTCACGTTTTTGCACCAGCTTACAGTTCGATTTTGAATTTTATTGTTTTTTTTTTTATCTTTGATTGGTCCGGTCTCACGTTACATCTCGGACTTCATCCAAATTCACTCCCCCGCGAGCTCTGAGTCTTCAAGTTTCATCTAGTATTTATACAGTTGTTTTTTTTTCGTTTTTAGCTTTATGCATTTTAACACTTTTTGTTTATTGTTTTATTTATGGTTTACTGTCTTGTATTGTATTTATTTGTCTGTGCAGCACGTTAGAAACTGTCATGTTTGCAAAATGTGCGATGGAAATAAAGTGGATTGATTAGATTGAACACACAAATCCTGCATATTTAGGCTGAGTTCTTCTCTCCAACGGAAAACACTTTGTTCCAAGAAGTACAAAAAAAACAAAAGTGCTTGAAGTTACAGTGATTATTTAAATGTAATTCTCTCATTCATTTATTTATTTTTTTTTAAACATGTTGTGATTGTGTTTTCTTGCAGGGTCAGACTGGAGTTCGACGCCCGGGTCAGTGCTGTGAGGAGTGTGTCTGGCCCAAAGGCAGCTGTCTGTACGAGGGGACCGTACGTTACCATGGCGACATGTGGAACGGCTCGACGGTAAAAAAAAAAATATATATATATATATTAGGGGTGTCAAATTATCACGTTAATTGCGATTAATTAATTACAGTCATATTTAGCGCGTTATGTTTTTTAATCACGTTAATCTAATTTTTAATCTCTAACTTTAGTGTTTCTGTATGTGAGTTTCTTTATTATAAAACCTGTTTTTATGTGTTGTTGGGACAACAACACACACAAAAAAACACATTTATACATTTTTTTTATTTCGGTAATTCCACTCATTGCCGGAAACCCACACAAAACGCGCGCAGTAACAGCGATGTAACAGAGCAGCAGTGCACAGGTAAAAACGCATTCGTGTCTTGGAAATTCTTCTCCCGACGTGAAATATAAAAGAAAATAACAAATATAAAATCGCCTACAACTTAAATGTCACTGGTGAAAACAACCTGCATAGACTCATGATGTCTGCACTACTGTCGTATAGTGACTGCCACATGGACACACACATGACACACACACACACACACACAACACACACACACACACACACACACACACAAACACACACCTTCATCATCGTCATTAACCTGAGAACGCGTGGACCACGTTTCCTTCCGTAGTTACTGCGTGGACACCGACCTGCTCCCGTGAGCCGCGTGTGGATCGTGTTTTCTCGCTACGCGGCGTAAACCGCGCTTCCTCCTGTGAACCTCTAAACCAGAACTAACACCAAGACTAAAACCAGGACTAAACCAGGTCTAAACCAGGACTAAACCAGGTCTAAACCAGGACTAAACCAGGACTAAACCAGGACTAAAACCAGGACTAAACCAGAACTAAAACCAGTACTAAAACCAGAACTAAAAACCAGAACTAAAACCAGGTCTAAACCAGGACTAAACCAGAACTAACACCAGGACTAAAACCAGGATTAATTTTTAATATGGTTAAGGAAAGACTGGACTTTTTATTGTCTTTAAGTCGACAAAAGTTATTATGTTCAGATTTCCTCGTCTTTGCTACTTTACAACAAACAGTTTCTTATTCATGGAGACTTGGGCTCAACAGACAATTTGGAGAGATTTGTTAAACAATAAATGACTTTTATAAAGTCACTTTTTTTTTAAATCTATATCAGTCTTTTGATCTGCCACAATAATGTAATAATGAATTTAAATGAAAATACCTCAAATTGAAGGCTTTTCTCAGCAATTTTTAGGTGAGATTAAAATGAGATTAATTAGATTAATTTATTACAGATCATAATTAATTAATCTCTCAATTTTTTTTAATCGCATGACAGCACTAATATATATATATATATATTTACCTCACATTCTGGGACGTACAGAATGAAATTTTAGGTCTGTTTTAGTTTAGATTTGCGCTGGGTACTGCTAAAAACCCTCTCTGTGGTCTAAAAAAGTACTTTTGGTGGAGAAAAAAGGTACAGAAAACAGGTCCTGGTACTTACATTTTAGTCTGAAGCTTTTTTATAGACTCCAAGTACAAGTTTTGTTTAAGTCATCCTCTTTGAAAAGTTCTAGATTATGAAAAATTGCCTCTCGTGAGCTTTAAACCCTTTTCTCAAAAACACACCTGGACTTGTTTTGTTTCATTCCCACATGTTTTGAGTTGTGATGGAAATTTATATTGTGGGAAGATTTTTCTCAATCTGTCTTTGTGTAAATGAAAAAGGAAGAAGAAAAAAAAAGGAAATTTTTCTGATTTACCTGCAGCAAAAGAGTGTTGCACCTCAAATCAGCTGTATGTTTGTGTTTGTTGTAAATTGTGCAGTGTCGGGAAATCTGCGTTTAACATTCAAGCCTTTGTCAATATTTTTGGCAAGAAAAATGAGAGGATGCAGTTGTTTTTAGAGTTCCTTGTTTCTTTTTAGATATATTTTTATTAGTACCGTATTTCCCGCACTATTAGGCGCTCTGGATTATAAGACACACTGTCATTAAATGGTCTATTTTCGGTTTCATATGTTTTTATTCATGTGAAAACAGATATAGATATGTCACTCAAACAACACATGTACACACACTTTTTTCATTTTTATGCAGATAAAACATAACCAATAAAGTTAACTAACAAAAAACAAATCACTCGAGAAATGGGAGTAGCGTCATACAATGTAATAATAATAATAGAATGATAAAAAAATATATTACTACTAATTTTAATAACAAATAAAACATTTAAGAAATACAATAGGATAATAATTAATTAAATAAATTAAATAATAATAATAATAATAATAATAATAATAATAATAATAATAATAATAATAATAATAATAATAATAATAATAATAATAGAATTATAAAAAAATACACTTACTACTAATATTAATAACAAATAAAAAATAGAAGTAATTAATACAATAAGAATAATTTAAAGAAATATAATAATAATTGTAATAATAATAATAATAATAATAATAGAATGATTAAAAAATACACTACTACTAATATTAATAACAAATAAAAAATAGAATTAATTAATACAATAAGATAATAATTAAAGAAATATATAATAATAGTAGTAATAATAATAATAATAATAATATATAATAAATAATAATAATAATAATAATAATAATAATTTTTTTAAAGGGGGTGGGTAGGTGGTTGGTTTAGACTGTTTTAAAAAAGTCAATAAATGGCTGCCACTTTCTAAAAAATGTCTTTATGTTCCTTTCTTGGAATACCTAATCTTCTCTACTTTCAAAAAGGACATAGCTTCATTAATCCATTGAGTGCTGGATGGGGTAAATGGTCTATTTTCGAACTTTTTTCACAAATAAACCGCACCTGACTTTAAACGAAACACACTCTGGGATCGCTGGATTGTCGGCGTGTTCGCAGTGACTCGGTTGTTCAGTCGTGTCTAGAAGCGGCACGTCGCACTCGCTTTTTCGGTTCATTCCTCCGTTCCGTTCCTCGTCGGCGTGGAGTGATGAGTGTGTGTGTGTTTCTCTGTGCGGTCGCTGTCTGCTCCGTGTGTGTTTGCGGCTTTGTAGTTTACTGAAGTCGTACTGCGACACCTGGTCGTATTTTTATGGGGTTCGAGGCTTAAGAGCGCGTCTAATAGCCCGGAAAATACGGTACCCGCCTACCGTCGAGCGAACGAATCCTAATGCTGCGAGGTCACACAGTTTCTACGAAGTGAAACCGGCTCATGAATCAGGCTAAATGAGCACTGGCCACTCAAAACAATACGACGCCATCCTGGGTTCACCTTCAGGTTTTATTATAGTTTTGGAACAGAGCATTTTGAGCTTTGGAGATGTAAACAGACTAAAAATAAAGAGTTACTCAAGCACGTGAATGAAACAAAACACAACTCCAGGTCTGTTTTTGACGAGGAAACAACATTAGAACACGACTTAAACCTCACAAGAGTCAATTTTGTGTAATGTAGGACCTTTAGTATGTGATCTCTAAACTTTTTTGCTGACAATTAATGGCTTAAAAATGTCCAAAAACAGTCTGTTTCCTCGTATGGACCAATAACTGACCTCGTTTTGTGGTTGCGCCCATTCCATGGATTGTCGGCGTGTTCGCAGTGACTCAGTTGTTCAGTCGTGTCTAGAAGCGGCACGTTGCGCTCGTGGTTTTTTCGGTTCGTTCCTCCGTTCCGTTCCTCGTCGGCGTGGAGTGATGAGTGTGTGTGCGGGTGTGTTTCTCTGTGCGGTCGCTGTCTGCTCCGTGTGTGTTTGTGGCTTTGTAGTTTACTGAAGTCGTACTGGGACGCCCGAGTGGATTCGTGTATGGGGCGCTCTGGATTGTGGCGCGCGGTCGTTTTTTATGGGGTTAGAGGCTTAAGATGATGTGGAAAATACGGTATTTGTTTTGTTTTGCCTGTTGGTTTTTATCGATGTCCTAAAAAAGTCCAATTGGTATCAGAAAACTCATTCGTTGTGATTGGTTCTTCCAGAAATTCCATATATTTTGAACTATCTTAAAAACAAAATGAAGGCCTTATCAACGCCGGCTGTAGAAACTTGACTGTCCTTGACGACTTTGCGCCTGTGAATTTCTTTAATGATTTTTTGTTGTTACAGAAGATAAGGATGTTGTATGTTTTATTATTATTATTTATTATTTTCTCGTCTTTTCTTCAATATCCTGTTGTGGAAAAAAAATCTATATCTCTTGATGATAAATATTTAATCCATTTGCGAAGCCAGATGAGTTTTTGGAATACAGACAAAAGTTTATTGTTCTTGATATGGACAGAGACTAGACCTGGACACAGACCAACAGACTCACCTCAGCAGCAGTGTGTCCCTCGAGCTCTGAGTATTTATACAGAAATACAAGTGACATACACATGAAAGCAGAGTGACACTTGTCTCACAGGCTGCTGCACACGTTTGACGACAGGTAAGAAAACACACAGTCTCCTGAGGGATGGAGACAGTTGTTTCCGCTGAGTCTTTCCACATGTCACTGACTGGTTTGGGTCGTATTTAGAAATCACATTTATTTACTCAAAGACACATTGAGAGAAATCTTTCCACAGTATAAATTTCCATCACAATCCTATGAAATAATAATAATGATTCATCAGTCGGGTTTTACTTTATTTCACTTTGTAGAAACCCTCTGACCTCACTGCCTTAAGGTTCGTTCACACCAAAGCGTCAAAAAACACCTTGACGTTTCTATTTGGAGCCTTTGCATTTGAGTTCAGACGCCCGCGACGCTCGTGTGTTTGACTCCGTGGACGAACGGGACAAAAATACTTGATGCGCGTCCGTTGCCCTGGAAACAAGAGTCGGTCCTGGTCTTTTCCCAAAACAATGTCAGACCAAACTGAGAGACTTTAGTGTTTTTATGACATAAAACATCAGCGGAGGAGATCGGGTCAAAGACTGGGGCGTAAATATATTTATACTCCACTAATGACACTGGATCAGTCCCGGTCTAGTCCTGGTCTAATACCGGTCTAGTCCTGGTCTAATACCGGTCTAGTCCTGGTCTAGTTGTGGTTTAGTCTCAGTCTATTCAGGGTCTAGTCCAGGGGTGGGCAAACTACGGCCCAGGGGCCGTATGCGGCCCTTTAAACCTTTTAATCCGGCCCGCCGAACTGGAATAAATTACAATAATAAACCTTGTTGATGTTTTATTTGTCATGCATTTCCAGCGTTTCCCAGTAGATGGCGACACTATATATACATTGAGGTGCGGCGTATTATGTTGGCTGCAATGCTTTATGGGAAAGTGTTCTTACAGGAGTTATTTGGACCATGAGTGAAGTAGTTGGTGCTTAAGATATAAGATGCACTGCTTCCAGTTTGAGTTGGTAAAAATCAGTCAAGGAAACTTATGTTCTCTGAGTTGTAATAATTAATGTGCACAACATGTTGGAGTCAGGTTTTATCACAGTCACAGGTGTGTGTCTGTGGTTGTTTGGGTGAGCTTTGTCTTTAAGCTGTTTCCAGTCATATTTGAAAATGATAAACATTCACTGGTGTTGTGCAGTGGAGCAGGTCTCAGCAGCTTCATGTTCTGAATCTTTCACATCAGTGATGAAACATGTAGCGTCTGAAGTCCTGGATAAATGTGAATAAGAAAGTAATGAATCTGAGCTTTAAACACGTCATGTCCTGTCTTCTGTCCGGCCCTTCAGTCAAACTTTAGGACCCTATGTGGCCCGCGAGCCAGAAAGTTTGCCCACCCCTGGTCTAGTCCTTGTTTAGTCTCGGTCTAGTCTCGGTCTAGTCCTTGTTTAGTCCCGGTCTAGTCCATGTTTAGTCCTGGTCTAGTCTCGGTCTAGTCCTTGTTTAGTCCCGGTCTAGTCTCGGTCTAGTCTCGGTCTAGTCCTTGTTTAGTCCGGTCTAGTCTCGGTCTATGTTCTAGTCTCGTCTAGTCTCGGTCTAGTCCTTGTTTAGTCCCGGTCTAGTCCATGTTTAGTCCTGGTCTAGTCCCGGTCTAGTCTCGGTCTAGTCCTTGTTTAGTCCCGGTCTAGTCCATGTTTAGTCCTGGTCTAGTCCCGGTCTAGTCTCGGTCTAGTCCTTGTTTAGTCCCGGTCTAGTCCATGTTTAGTCCTGGTCTAGTCCCGCTCTAGTCTCGGTCTAGTCCATGTTTAGTCCTGGTCTAGTCCATGTTTTGTCTGGTCTAGTCTCGTCTAGTCCTGTTTAGTCTGTAGTGTCTAGTCTGGTTTAGTCCTGGTCTAGTCGGTCTAAGTCTCTAGTCTCACCTGAATGATAACTAGTCCTTCTAGTCCTGTTTAGGTCTAGTCCCGGAGTCTGGTCTAGTCTCGGTCTAAGTCTCTCTATGTCTGAAAATCTAGTCCGGTCTAATCTAGTCCATGTCTAGTCCTGGTCTAGTCCAGTCTAGTCTAGTCGTCTAGCGGAGTCCATGTTTAGTCCCGGTCTAGTCCTATAAATTTAGTCCCGGTCTAGTCTATGTCTAGTCGTGAAGTCTAGTCTGTATGTTTAGTTCCCGCGGTTATGTCCTGTTCGTTTATATTTATGAGTTTTTCAGAGTGTGTTCGGCCCTTTAAGTTCGGTTTTAGTCGCAGTCCTCGATTAGCTACGACGTGATTTTCTTTAATTGTTTAGGGTGTGTTGAGCCAGAAAGTTTCCCACCCCTGTCTAGTCCTAGTTAGTCTTCGGTCTAGTCCTCGTCTAGTCCTTGTTTAGTCCCGGTCTAGTCCATGTTTAGTCCTGGTCTAGTCCGGTCTAGTCCTTGTTTAGTCCGGTCTAGTCTCGGTCTAGTCTCGGTCTAGTCCTTGTTTAGTCCGTCTAGTCTAGTCGTCTAGTCTAGTCTCGGTCTAGTCTAGTCTCGTCTAGTCCTTGTTTAGTCCCGGTCTTAGTCCATGTTAGTCCTGGTCTAGTCCCGTCTAGTCTCGGTCTAGTCTAGTCTGTTAGTCCCGGTCTAGTCCATGTTTAGTCCTTCTAGTCCTCTGGTCTAGTCTCGTCTAGTCCTTGTTTTAGTCCCGGTCTAGTCCATGTTTAGTCCTGGTCTAGTCTCGTCGTCTAGTCCTTGTTTAGTCCATGTTTAGTCTCTTAGTCCTAGTCCTGGTTTAGTTCGGTCTTAGTCTCGGTCTAGTCCCGTCTAGTCCGGGTCTAGTCCATGTTTAGTCCTGGTCTAGTCCCGGTCTAGTCCCGGTCTAGTCCATCGTTCTAGTCCGGTCTATCGCTGGTCTAGTCACCAGTGATTCTCGTGAAGTGCGTGGAGTTTAAAAACACGTGGAGCACTTCCTGTATCACCACGTTAATATTTATTGTCATTTGAGCGCGCGTGACGGATGAATGAATTAATTGTGAAACGCTTTATTTGTTCGTTTATATTATGAGTTTATTGTGCAGAGTGTGGATGAAAATAACGTAATTCAGGCCTTTATTGTAATCTGTTGACCTTTTTTTTTTATGGTTTTAGTTACCGATACTGATAAATAAAATGCTGTTTAAGAAAGAATGTGAAAAATGAGCAGTCCCAGAGTAGTTTAGTGTGAAATCTGAGGCGCGATCACAACGTCAGGCTTCATAAAAACTCTACGACGTGATTTTCTTAATTGAAAATAAAAATAAACGTTTAGCGAGCCTATGTGGTCCCCTAGTCCATGTTTAGTCTAGTCTTGTTTTAGTCCCTAGTCTCCCTTGTTTAGTCCTAGTTGTAGTTGTCTAGTCTTCCTCGGTTAGTCCATGTTTAGTCCTGGTCTAGTCCCGGTCTAGTCCTTTAGTCCTGTTTAGTCCTAGGTCTAGTCTCGGTCTAGGTTAGTCTGGTCTAGTCTCGGTCTAGTCATGTTTAGTCTAGGTCTAGTTCCCGGGTCTAGTCTCTTGTTTAGTCGGTCCTAACTTAGTCCTGGTCTAGTCTCGGTTAGTCTCGTCTAGTCCTTAGTCTTTAGTCTCAGGTCTAGTCCAGTTTAGTCTAGTCGGTCTAGTCTCGTCTATCCAGGGTCTAGTCTCGGTCTAGTCCGGTCTAGTCCTAGTCCGGTCTTCTAGTCTGTCTAGTCCTAGTCCGGTCTGTTTAGTCCCGGTCTAGTCTCGGTAGTCTAGTCCTTGTTTAGTCCCGGTCTAGTCCATGTTTAGTCCTGGTCTAGTCTCGGTCTAGTCCTTGTTTAGTCCCGGTCTAGTCCATGTTTAGTCCTGGTCTAGTCTCGGTCTAGTCTCGGTCTAGTCCTTGTTTAGTCCCGGTCTAGTCCATGTTTAGTCCTGGTCTAGTCTTCTAGTCCTTGTTTAGTCTCGGTCTAGTCCTTGTTTAGTCTCGGTCTAGTCCTTGTTTAGTCTCGGTCTAGTCCTGGTCTAGTCCCGGTCTAGTCCTTGTTTAGTCCCGGTCTAGTCCATGTTTAGTCCTGGTCTAGTCTTGGTCTAGTCTCGGTCTAGTCCCGGTCTAGTCCTGGTCTAGTCACCAGTGATTCTCGTGAAGGTGCGTGGAGTTTAAAAACACAGTGGAGCACTTCCTGTATCACCACGTTTAATATTTATTGTCATTTTGAGCCGCGCGTGACGGATGAATGAATTATTTGTGAAACGCTTTATTTGTTCGTTTATATTTATGAGTTTATTGTGCAGAGTGTGGATGAAAATAACGTAATTCAGGCCTTTAATGTAATTGTTGACCTTTTTTTTTTAACGATTTTAGTTACCGAAACCGTAAATAAAGTGCTGTTTAAGAAAGAATTCTGAAAAAGTGAGCAGTTCCCAGAGTAGTTTAGTGTGAAATCTGAGGCGCGATCACAACGTCAGGCTTCATAAAAACTCTACGACGTGATTTTCTATAATTGTTTCGTCCTTTTCTGAAATTCAATCACGAAACTTTGACTGCATTAGAATTGGCTCTCAAATATAATCAGTCGTGTGGTGATCGATGGCTCTCCCAGGTGTAATACTGTTGGTGGTGTGTTCTTTTCCAGGCCGCCTCCTCCTCCTCCTCCTCCTCCTCCTCCTCCTCTTCGTCTTCGTCTCCGGGCTGCGAGTTCTGCTCCTGTAACAGAGGCCAGGTGCTGTGCCAGAGAGCGGAGTGCGAGGAGGTCCACTGTCCGCAGGTAAAAAAAACACACAAAACAAACCAAAATATGATTCAAACGCCACTAAAAATGCACTGTAATCATAGACTGTTACATAAATACTTCCTTTAAACTATACTTTGTTGAAAAATGTAAATGTATAACACGGTGATATTTTCCTGTTTTCACATTTTGGGCAATTTTTTTTTTATTTATTTTATTTTTTCGGTAATTACACTCATTGCCGGAGACCAGGTCATTCCACTAGATCTAGTTTAGATCTAAATCAGGTCTAAACCAGAACTAAACCAGGACTAAACCAAGATTTAACAGGACTAAACCAGGACTAAACCAGGACTAAATCGTGCTGCGCAGATTTGTCTTCTCTTCTATCAATAATATTTTTAATTTGGTTCAGTAAAGTTTGGGCTTTTTATTTTCTTTAAGCAGATAAAACTTCTTATGTGAAGATTTCCTCGTCTTTGCTTCTCTACAGCAAATCAAGTAATTCAAAGTATTCAGGTCTTCGGTCTTGAAGGAGCTTGGACTCGGTCTTGACTCGGTCTTGGACTCGGTCTTGGACTCGGTCTTGGACTGGTCTCGGTGGACTCGGTCTTGGACTCGGTCTTGTCTCGGTCTTGAAGGTGTCTTTGGACTCGGTCTTGGACTCGGTTTGTCTCGGTCGGTCTTGGACTCGGTCTTGGACTCGGTCTTTGGACTCTCGGTCTTGTCTCGGTCTTGAACTCGGTCTTGTCTTGGACTCGGTCTTCGGTCTCGGTCTTGGACTCGTCTTTTGTCTCGGTCTTGAAGGTCTTGGATCGTCTTGACTCGGTCTTGTGACTCGGTTTTCTCGGTCTTGAAGGTCTTGGACTCGGTCTGTCTCGGTCTTGTCGGTCTTGAAGGTCTTGGGTCTTGTCTCGGTCTTGACTCGGTCTTGTCTCGGTCTTGTCTTTCGGTCTTGTCTCGGTCTTGTCTCGGTCTTGGAGGTCTCGGTCTTGTCTCGGTCTTCTTGGACTCGTCTTGTCTCGGTCTTGTCTCGGTGGTCGGTCTTGGACTCGGTCTTGTCTCGGTCTTGTCTTGACTCGGTCTTGTCTTGACTCTCGGTCTGTCGGTCTGTCTCGGTCTTGGAGTCTCGGAGTCTTGTCTCGGTCTTGTCTCGGTCTTGTTTGACTCGGTCTTGTCTCGGTCTTGGACTCGGTCTCTGGGTCTTGTTCTCGGTCTTGGACTCGGTCTTGTCTCGGTCTTGGACTCGGTCTTGTCTCGGATCTCGGTCTCTGGACTCGGTCTTGTCTCGGTCTTGGACTCGGTCTCTCGGTTGGACTCGGTCTTGTCTCGGTCTTGGACTCGGTCTTGGACTCGGTCTTGTCTCGGTCTTGTCGGTCTGTCTCGGTCTTCTCGTCTTGTCTCGGTCTTGTCTCGGTCTTGTCTCGGTCTTGTCTCGTCTTGGACTCGGTCTTGTCTCGGTCTTGGTCTCGGTCTTGTCTCGGTCTCTTGGACTCGGTCTTGTCTCGGTCTTGTCTCGGTCTTGGACTCGGTCTTGTCTCGGTCTTGGACTCGGTCTCGGTCTCGTCTCGGTCTTGTCTCGGTCTTGGACTCGTCTCGTCTTGTCTCGTCTTGTCTCGGTCTTGGACTCGTCTTGGACTGTCTCTCGGTCTTGTCTCGGTCTTGGGTCTTGTCTCTTGGAGTCTTGTCTCGGTCTTGGGACTCTGTCTTGTCTCGGTCTTGTCTCGGTCTTGTCTCGGTCTTGGTCTTGGACTCGGTCTTTGGTCTCGGTCTTGGACTCGGTCTTGTCTCGGTCTTGTCTCGGTCTTGTCTCGGTCTTGTCTCGGTCTTGGACTGGACTCTCTTGTCTCGGTCTTGGACTCGGTCTTGGACTCGTCTTGTCTCGGTCTTTGTCTCGGTCTTGGACTCGGTCTTGGACTCGGTCTTGTCTCGGTCTTGTCTCGGTCTTGGACTCTCGGTCTTGTCTCGGTCTTGTCTCGGTCTTGGACTCGGTCTTGGTCTCGGTCTTGGTCTCTCGGTCTTGTCTCGGTCTTGGACTCGGTCTCGGTCTCTCGGTCTTGACTCGGTCTTCGGTCTCTGGTCTTGACTCGGTCTTGTCTCGGTCTTGTCTCGGTCTTGGACTCGGTCTTGGACTCGGTCTTGTCTCGGTCTTGTCTCGGTCTTGGACTCGGTCTTGTCTCGGTCTTGGTCTCGGTCTTGTCTTGTCTCGGTCTTGTCTCGGTCTTGGACTCGGTCTTGTCTCGGTCTTGTCTCGGTCTTGGACTCGGTCTTGGACTCGGTCTTGTCTCGGTCTTGGACTCGGTCTCGGTCTTGTCTCGGTCTTGGACTCGGTCGGTCTGTCTCGGTCTTGTCTCGGTCTTGTCTCGGTCTTGTCTCGGTCTTGGACTCTCGGTCTTGGACTCGGTCTTGGACTGTCGGTCTTGGACTCGGTCTTGTCTCGGTCTTGGACTCGGTCTTGTCTCGGTCTTGGTCTCGGTTGTCGGACTCGGTCTTGGACTCGGTCTTGGACTCGGTCTTGGACTCGGTCTTGGTCTCTCGGTCTTGGTCTCGGTCTTGTCTCGGTTCTCTCGGACTCGGTCTTGTCTCGGTCTTGGACTCGGTCTTGGACTCGGTCTTGTCTCGGTCTTGACTCGGTCTTGGACTCGGTCTTGTCTCGGTCTTGGACTCGGTCTTGGACTCGGTCTTGTCTCGGTCTTGACTCGGTCTTTGGACTCGGTCTTTGTCTTTGTCTTGGTCTTGGTCTTGGACTCGGTCTTGTCTCGGTCTTGGACTCGGTCTTGGATCTCTTGGTCTTGGACTCGGTCTTTGTCTCGGTCTTGGACTCGGTCTTGTCTCGGTCTTGGACTCGGTCTTGGACTCGGTCTCGAAGGCGTTTCATATTTTCGTGTCTTGTATCTTTCGTGCTTTGGGTCAAATCTGCACCACTGAGATGTGAGTTTTGAGAGTTTTTGTCTTTATTTCTAACTGTTTAACTCATTTTCTTTCCTTTTTTTCTTCCCACTTTTCTATTCGGAGCCGAGACTCTGATCTTTAACACAAACCTGAGTGGATTTTCCGAGCACGAGTGGGTCTTTGAGGAGCCGGACGTCCAGACTCAGTCCCGGTTCTTCCTCCACTGTTTTTGATTCTGTTTTATTTTGCGAGCGGCGCTGAGGAGGGATTTGGGATTTGGGATTTGGGGACGTGACATCGCGAGGAGCCTCGGCCAAAGTTCAGACACGAGAGACGCAGAAAAATAAGAAAGGAGAAAATGTGATTGTGCCATAGAGATAAAAATACTACAAACGAAATACTACTGCAAAGACTCTTCTGAGGAAAAGTATTTATACTGTACTGTACTTCAGGTGTTAATCCTGCGCTGGTTTAGTCCTGTTTTAGTCCTGGTTTAGTCCTGGTTTAGTCCTGGTCTAGTCCTGGTTTAGACCTGGTTTAGTCCTGGTTTAGGCCTGGTCTAGGCCTGGTCTAGTCCTGGTCTAGTCCTGGTTTAGACCTGGTTTAGTCCTGGTTTAGCCCTGTTTAAATCCTGGTTTAGTCCTGGTTTAATCCTGGTTTAGCCCTGGTCTAGTCCTGGTTTAGACCTGGTTTAGTCCTGGTTTAATCCTGGTTTAATCCTGGTTTAATCCAGGTTTAGCCCTGTTTAAATCCTGGTTCAGTCCTGGTTCAGTCCTGGTTTAGTCCTGGTTTAGTTCTGGTTTAGACCTGGTTTAGGCCTCGTTTAAATCCTGGTTTAGACCTGGTTTAGTCCTGGTTTAGCCCTGTTTAAATCCTGGTTCAGTCCTGGTTTAGTCCTGGTTTAGACCTGGTTTAGTCCTGTTTAAATCCTGGTTTAGTCCTGGTTTAGTCCTGTTTAAATCCTGGTTTAGTCCTGGTTTAGCCCTGTTTAAATCCTGGTTTAGACCTGGTTTAATCCTGGTTTAGTCCTGGTTTAGTCCTGTTTAAATCCTGGTCTAGTCCTGGTTTAGCCCTGTTTAAATCCTGGTTTAGACCTGGTTTAATCCTGGTTTAGTCCTGGTTTAGTCCTGTTTAAATCCTGGTCTAGTCCTGGTTTAGCCCTGTTTAAATCCTGGTTTAGTCCTGGTTTAGACCTGGTTTAGCCCTGTTTAAATCCTGGTTTAGCCCTGGTTTAGCCCTGGTTTAGTCCTGGTTTAGTCCTGGTTTAGTCCTGGTTTAGCCCTGTTTAAATCCCTGTTAAATCCTGGTTTAGTCCTGGTTTAGTCCTGGTTTAGTCCTGGTTTAGTCCCGGTCCGTCCAGTACAGTGAGACCCCGGGCGCAGTGACCTTGGCCTGGATCCTGGACCAGATCCAGACCTGAGACTCTTAATGACTCTGATCTGATTATCCACAGCACTGATGCATGAGCCCATTAAAGCTGCCCTGGAATGTGCTTATCCTGGAGAAAGTCCCGATCTAGACCTGGTTCTGCACCAGTCTAGACCTGGTTTGGTCCTTGGTTAGTCCTGGTTTAGTTCTAGTCCAGTTTTAATACCCACTTTACCTCTTATGTGTTTCTGTTTTTGTTCCTAATGTTTTACTTATTTGGTTAAAATGGATCTGAAATGTGATCCAGGTTACGTTCTTGTTTAGTCTGGTTTAGTCCTGGTTTAGTCCTGGTCTAGACCTGGTTTAGTCCTGGTCTAGTCCTGGTTTACTCCCGGTTTAGTCCTGGTTTAGTCTTTTTTTTTTTTTTTTTCTGGTTTAGTCCTGGTTTAGTCCTGGTCTAGTCCTGGTTTAGTCCTGGTTTAGTCTTAGTTTAGTCCCTGGTCTAGTCCTGGTCTAGTCCTGGTTTAGTCTTAGTTTAGTCCTGGTTTAGTCCTGGTCTAGTTCTGGTCTAGTCCTGGTTTAGTCCTGGTCTAGTCCCTGGTTTAGTCCTGGTCTAGTCCCTGGTTTAGTCCTGGTCTAGTCCCTGGTTTAGTCCTGGTCTAGTCCCTGGTTTAGTCCTGGTCTAGTCCCTGGTTTAGTCCTGGTCTAGTCCCTGGTCTAGTCCCTGGTTTAGTCCTGGTCTAGTCCCTGGTTTAGTCCTGGTCTAGTCCCTGGTTTAGTCCTGGTCTAGTCCCTGGTTTAGTCCTGGTCTAGTCCCTGGTTTAGTCCTGGTCTAGTCCCTGGTCTAGTCCCTGGTTTAGTCCTGGTCTAGTCCCTAGTCCTGGTCTAGTCCCTGGTTTAGTCCTGGTCTAGTCCCTGGTTTAGTCCCTGGTTTAGTCCTGGTCTAGTCCCTGGTCTAGTCCCTGGTTTAGTCCTGGTCTAGTCCTGGTTTAGTCCCTGGTTTTAACTGCTGTAATCCTGAATTAGATCCTGTTTAGACCCTCTTCAATCCTTATTTAATCCAGTCTTAATCTGGGTTATCTTGAATTTAGTCCTGGTTTAGTCCTAGGATTTCAATAGGTTTTATTTCTGGTTTATTTAATTTTTTGGTCCTTAGTCCTGGTTTTCAGTCCTGGATTTCCTGTTGTTAATTTAGTCTAGTTGGTTTATTTAATCCTTTGTATCCTGGTCCTAGTCCTGGTTTAGTTCTCCTTAGTCCTAGGTTGGTTCTAGTTTAGTCCTGGTTTAGTCATAGTTTAGTTCTGGTTTGTCCTGGTTTAGTTTCTGGTTTAGTCTGGTTTAGTTTTTAAGTCCTGGTTTAGTTTTTAGTTTAGTCCTGGTTTAGTCTTAGTTTAGTCTTAGTTTAGTCCTGGTTTAGTCCTGGTTTAGTCTTAGTTTAGTCCTGGTTTAATCCTAGTTTAGTCCTAGTTTAGTCCTGGTTTAGTCTGGTCCTTGGTTTAGTCCCGGTTTAGTCCTGGTTTTAGCCCTGGTTTAATCCTGGTTTAGTCCTGGTTTAGTCTTGGTTTAGTCCCGGTTTAGTCCTGGTTTAGTCCTGGTTTACTCCTGTTTAGTCCTGGTTTACTCCTGGTTTAGTCCTGGTTTAGTCCTGTTTAGTCCTGGTTAGTCCTGGTTTAGTCCTGGTTTAGTCCAGTTTAGTCCTGGTCTAGTCCTGGTTAGTCTGGTCTAGTCCTGTTTTAGTCCTTTAGTCTGGTTTAGTCCTGGTTTAGTCCTGGTTTAGTCCTGTTTGTCCTGGTTTAGTCTAGTTTAGTCCTGGTTTAGTCCTGTTTAGTCCTAGTTTAGTCCTGGTTTAGTTTAGTCCTGGTTTAGTCCTGGTTTAGTCCTGGTTAGTCCTGTTTAGTTAGTCCCTTAGTTTTTAGTCCTGGTTAGTCCTGTTTAGTCCTGGTTTTGGTCCTGGTTTAGTCCTGGTTAGTCCTGGTTTAGTCCTTAGTTTAGTCCTGGTTTAGTCCTGGTCTAGTCTTAGTCCTGTCCTAGTCCTGGTTAGTCTGGTTTAGTCTGGTTTAGTTTAGTCCTAGTTTAGTCCTGGTTTAGTCCTGGTTTAGTCTAGTCTAGTCCTGGTTTAGTCCTGGTTTAGTTTAGTTTTATCCTGGTTTAGTCCTGTTTAGTCCTTTAGTCCTGGTTTAGTCCTGGTTAGTCCTGGTCTAGTCCTGGTCTTAGTCCTGGTTTTAGTCTAGTCCTGGTGGTTAGTCCTGGTCTGGTTTAGTCCTAGTCTAGTCCTGGTCTAGTCCTGGTTAGTCTAGGTAGTCCTTTAGTCCTGGTTTAGTCCTGTCTAGTCCTGGTCTAGTCCGTTTAGTCTTAGTTTAGTCCTGGTTCTGGTTTAGTCCTGGTCTAGTCCTGGTCTAGTCCTGGTTTAGTCCTGGTCTAGTCCTGGTATAGTCCTGGTCTAGTCCTGGTTTAGTCCTGGTTTAGTCTCTTCTTTTAGTGTCAGTTTTATGTAGGTCAGTTCTGTGTAATCCGGGCGTCGCTATGGGAACGCTCTGAACCTGAACTAATCCCTTTGTGATCCCGGTCCTTTTCTCCGGAGCCGGACTTTCCTCCGGAGACTCCGACTCTGCAGAACGACTTTACACCTCGTTCAGACTTTACACAGTTTCAAACGGGACAAGATCTCGTGAGATTTTTTTCCAAGTGTTTACATTTGGATTGGACTAAAAACAGTTCTGGGTTGGTGAGTTACAGCTCAACGACCCGTTTACACTGAAACAAATCACCGTATCATCTTATCCGAAACAATCTGCGTCCACACACGTCGTTTCTGTGTCCACAGTCCTTCCCTGTCCACACGACTTTGTGCACATTTGTTTACGGTTTAAATCAGGAGAGTCAGAGTCATTTTGTTCCGGGGGTCGTGTCCAACCGACTCTGAGCTCAAAGTGTCCGGATCAGAAAACTCATGTCATATAAACCCCAAAAATAACAATAAGTTCAAATATTTGTGCAGAGAAACACAAATCTATTCCAGAAATCTTTTTTAATTGATGAACTCTTTCTTTTACAAAATATTATAATATTATGAACAACCTGAAACTTTAAGAAAAATACAATTTCAACACAAAGTTTTAACATGAACTTGTATATAAATAGAAATAAGTCCATTTTTGTTGTAAAATTCTGCACTCGGCTCCACTTTTCTCATGTTGGACATTTTTCTGATGAGGGTGTCACGGTCAACAGTCAAAACGATCGTCCTTTAAGAGCGTTTGGAAAGAGACAAGTCTTCATTTGTGCTGCTCTGGTGGGAGGGGCCACGTACAGAGACGCTGGAGACGCTGCTGTGATAAACACCACAGAAAATTAACAACATTTTAATAGAAAATATCATTCAAATATTTTAGTAGAAAATCAGCCGAGGGCCAGATTAAAGGTCTTGGAGGGCCGGATCTGGCCCCCGGGCCGTATGTTTGACACCTGTGATTTACAGAAATGAAACTTAAAACCACATGACTCATTTGCATAAACGTATAATGTATGTATGTAATGTAATGTGTAAATGATATAATGTTGTTCCCTCCTCAAAAACAGATCTGAAGTTGTGTTTTGTTTCATTCACATGTTTGAGTAACTCTTTATTATTAGTCTCCAAAGCTCAAAACTGTCCGGTCCACCTTGTGATGTCATGAAGTGGTAGTTTTTATGTGACCGGCTCCTTTTTACATCGGCAATTCCAGAACTGAAAAAAATGATCCAGATGATTCTAGTGAAGGTGTGCGGAGTTTAAAAACACACTGGAGCACTTCCTGTATCACCGCATGACATCACCAGGTGGAACAGAGCGTTAGAGTTTATGTTAAAGTGCGTGTGTGTTCTTCAGATGTTGGTTTGTTCTTGTGGTTTCAGGGCTTTTTGGTGTTTGAGGAGGGAAAGTGCTGCCCAGTGTGTTCATCTGAAAAACCAGGATGTGTGCACCACGGAAAGAACTACAAGGTACTACTACTACTACTACTACTACTACTACTACTACTACTACTACTACTACTACTACTACTGCTACTACTACTACTACTACTGCTACTGCTACTACTACTACTACTACTACTACTACTACTACTACTACTACTACTACTACTGCTACTACTACTACTACTACTACTGCTACTACTACTACTACTACTACTACTACTACTGA